GTAGTGGGTAATAGACAGGTAGGCACCTTGTCAACATGCACATCAAGCGCAGCCACACCGGGATATCAAACAACAGCCAATCACTTGAGAGAGAGAAAGAAAAAGAGAAAAACTCGATTAATGCATAAGGAAACGGTGACATAAACCTTAATTAAATAGCATACGTAATAAGTTGTTACAAACAAATCCTAGCTAAGTGCACGAGGTCAGGAAGTATAGTTCACGGTATGCCACGAACACAAAAATGTTATGGAAATCGAATACAATTGGCTGAGCGGTGTGTGCAAGTTTTAATGGAATAGAGATGCAGGGAGATGTTTATATGAGAAAGAAAAGCCGAGGTAGGTAAAACACCTGTTAAAATATTCATCATAACATATACTATCATGCTGTATATAGGCAACTTAAGAAGCTTGCCTGGTCGCACGACAAATGACTACGTTCGTGTTAGAGTCATCCAGACGAATCGCATTCGTGCGCTTTCCTGGGTTTTTTCGGCCTCAAGTTCAAGTTCGGGTGGGACGGGAACGATAGGAGAATCCCGTGAGTGTTCCATCTTGAGTGGATCGTTGAGCCAGGAATTGATGAAGTGCTCAGTTATTGATGGATCTAAAACGGAACACCCGTATCGCACCCTGGCCAACCAGTTAATGCCCACGTTTCCTGCCCTAGCAGTCCCTGCTGTGGCAGTCACGTGAAGTAAGCAAAGGATAGGAAGAGAAATCGAAGGTACAGAATAAGGAAGTGCACTTAAATAAGAAAATAATACCAATGCGTGAAGAAAAGTAGAGAAAAGAAAATCGAAGTACGAAGATGCGAGTTACTCAGGAAAATGGAAAGGTTTCGTGTTGCCACCCAAGAGCGTCAAGTTGCCGCTCAAACCCCTTAACCGTAGATTCCCTGATAACACTTTCCGGAAGCATGTTCCAGCGGTCGATGACTCGGCGTGACAGCCGGATTTCCGCCCTAATCCGATCGGACCGCGGTTTGTCCAGCTTCAAGGAATGACCGCGTAGAACAGACAATCTAGCGGGACTGAATAGCCAAGATAAATCTGGACCAACCTTCCCAGTTAAGATACGGTAGGTTAGGATTAGGTCTCCTCTAAGCCTTCGGTAGTGCATTGAATGCATTCCCAAACTAAGTAGACGCTCGGGGTACGTCCGTCCCCGTAATCCCTCGACTAACCTAGTACCCACTCGTAAAACCCTCTCTAGCTCCATTTTGTCCCGGACGAGGCAGGGCGGACAAGCCTGGACGCAGTATTCCAGATGAGGCCGAACGAAAGCCGAGAACAGCCTCGTAAAGATGCCGCCCGTCAAGACTCCGAAAGAACGTCGTATTAACCACAACATGCGGAAACCTCTGCTTGCGGCCTTCTTCCAGTTGTCGCCGGAGTGTAAAGCCGAAGAGTGTACGACGCCCAGATCAACTTGGCTAGATACACGGGGAGTTCGACCCCACCGACCAAGTACTTCGTAGGAGGACAACCTCCTCCAATTCGAAGAACGGAGCACTTTGCCTGATTTATGGGCAGTAACCATAAAGTAGACCAGTCCCAAAGCTTATCCAATGCTCGCTGAATAGCTTCGGAACCCCCAGGAACATCGACAATGTTCCACAGCTTCAGGTCATCAGCAAATAGCAGCGATGGTACCTCAAGCTCCGCGGGTAGGTCATTCACATAGATAGCGAACAGAAGCGGTCCATATATATATATATATATATAAATATATATTATATATATATAATAATTATACTAGAATATATATATATATAAATATGATATATATATATATCCTAATATATATATATATATATATATATATATATTATATACTATATGGTTGGCGGCAGTCCGGTTTCGGATTTGCCTGTCACTGTGGCAAGCCCACAGGGACGCCTGCCGCCTAACGAGGGTACCCATGGATGGCTTGCGCTGCACCACCCACAGCTCCAACCACACACCCCATATCCAGTGTAAACCCGAAGGAATAAGACCGGGAGGAATGTGGATGGGAACCACGTTTCAATGAACGGAGCATATATAGATATATATATATATATATATATATAAAGGTTCGGCGGCATCCGGTTTCGGATTTGCCTCTGTCACTGTGGCAAGCCACAGG